GTGCATAGGCCTCCTCGTGGCCGCTCGTCGGCAAACTCATCCTCCCAATCCCTATCCCTCTGTGTCCTCGTTCTTGCGTTCCTTAACTTGTGCTGGGGGGTGGGGCAGTAGATAAGGCGAACCCCAACCCCACTAGGGGTGCCCCCTTAGGGGCCTCGGCGGGTATGGTCGCTGGCTGCCGTGGATGGGTTCTCTAGGCTGTGCTCGGGTCGGCCATCCCCTGAGCCGTCTGGAATGTCGGGGGGCGGGAGCGCACGCCCTCCCCGGGACCATCGCGCCACAGAGGCGGTTGGGGCTTCGGCTCAATCTCCGTGGGGGCTCCAGCTCCGGCTGGCGCTGCGGTGTCGGTCGCGGGTCCCTGGGGGAGGGAGGGAGGGAGGGAAGGATGGAGGGGAGGGAGGAGGGGGGAGAGGGGAGACGGGGGGGCGGAGGAGGGAAGGAGGGGGGAAGGGAGGGAGGGAGGGAGGGGAGGGGAGGGGAGGGGAGGGGCTATCTCGGCTAGCAGTCACACGCTACCGAAAACCTTAACCCAATGGCGAGGTTCAGGGCGAGGGGACAGCAGAGCAGGCATCTCAAGAAGTTGATGTTGATGTTGATGTTGATGATAATGATGGTGATGATGTTGGTAATGATGTTGGTAATGATGATGATGATGATGATGATGATGATGCTGATGATGATGATGGTAATGATGGTGATGATGATGATGGCAATTATGATGATGGTGATGATGATGGTGACGATGGTGATGATGCAGATGATGATAATGCAGATGATGCAGCTGATGATGATGATGCTGATGATGATGATGCTGATGATACTAACGATGATGATGATGATGATGATGATGATGATGATGATGACGATGACGATGACGATGATTATGATGATGCTGATGATGATGATGCTGATGATACTAATGATGATGATGATGATGATGATGACGATGACGATGACGATGATTATGATTATGATTATGATTATGATGATGATGATGATGATGATGATGATGATGATGATGATGATGATGATGATGATGATGATGATGATGATGATGATGATGATGATGATGATGATGATGATGATGATGATGTCTGGCGCTGCGTGCGTGTGTCCGCCATCGCGCCGCCAGGCACGAGTCGGAGTGCCTTCCGCCATGCGTCGCTGGCTCTGCCGCCCCCCTCTTCTCCAGCGGGTTGCCGTCGTGGTTCGTGAGGTGCCACCGGTACCCGCTGGTCGCATTGGTTGTGGGAGCCTCCTGCGCGGCCGTCCCCGCGACGGCCTTGCCATGGGCTCGAAATCAAAACGCGGGCCGCCGCCGACGGGAACTGGGCGGGGCCTTAAAGCGCCAGGCGAGCCGCAGCCGCCGGCGCCCGCGCCTTGCGCCCGGCGTCCCCCGCGGGCGCCCTGCGCAGGCTGCGGATCGTCAGGGGCGAGCATGGCCGATGAGCGGCCGGCCGCGCCGCCCCGAGGGTTACCCTCCCGCTGCTGGCCCCAGCCGCGGATGGGAGACGGCGCGAGCTCCAGCGCGGCGCCAACTGCCCTCAGGCGCGCAGCCGCCGCCGCCCCGGCGCCCTGCTGCTCGTGAGCGCACGCCGCCCGCGGGGGCTTGAAATGCCGCGCCCGGCGCCAAGCGTCGGCGCGGGCCCCGCTCACCAGGCCGAGGCCGCCGGCGGAATCACCCTTCCACCCTCTTCGCTCGCCAGGCCCTATCGGCCGGCGGCGCTGCTGCTCAGCCGCGATGCGGCCAGGCGGCCACCCCGCGCGTGACGTCGCTTCCGCGCTGGAACCCCTGGTTCTTGGTACTAGCTGAGAAGGCGCGAGGGCTTCTGAGAAGTCTCGCCGCCTCCTGCGAAGGTCTTCTCCTTATCACTTCCCCCCCTCGCCAGCCGCGGATAGAAGGGCGGAAAGGGTGCCAAGGGCGGCCGCGTGTTGGCTCGGTGGTGGACAAACCTCCCTTCAGTAAACCACCCTTTGGTGAAAACGGCCTGAAGCCGAAACCGACGGACCCGGACCCGCAAAAACGACGGCCAATTCGCTGATCGACGTGTCAGTGTAGGAGGTCTATCAACCTCTGACATGAGAGCTGTGCATGCTTTATCACACGACAGGCATCCCACTCGTCCGCGCACGAGGCGAGAAGGATCGAGCTAGGATCTGCGCCGTGCTCCCTCCACGAGCTCACGCCTTCACGCGGCGAGACCTGAGGAGGCTGCCGCGGGCACCTCCGTGCGGGCTTGCCGCGGGAGCCTCCCGCTCCGAGCGCCGAACAGGCGAACCCCCCTTCCCGGAGCGACGCCCCCCCCGGAGAGTTGTGTATGTCGTGACCAGGCCGTCCATGGACACAGTTCCGCGTGTTCAGTTGCATGGGCGCTGGCATTACGATTCTGACTTGTACGACCTGTGCTACTTGCATGACAGGGCCGTCCATGGATGCAGCACGGACGCCGGGGGTATCGCTGCCGACTCGTATGACTTGTCTTACTTCGCCGTCGGAGCTTGGGGTGCGAAACATTGGGACCGAGACCCCGTCCGCTCGAATGTCCCTCTCGTCGCCGTCGTTTTTGCTCGACTCGGCTCGTTTATGCTTCCATTGTCTGTGTGCGTGTGTGTTTGGTCTTCTGCGGTATGTGCCCCAATGTCCGGTCTCCCACCTTACCCCCTTCCCTCTTCCCCTCATCCTCCATCGCCTTCGACTTGATCCTTAAAGGCTTCAGGGTTCATCCTGAAGGCTCGGGAACCGTTCGCGGCTTTCCACCGGGAGAGGCGGAGGCGGAGTCGATGATGATAATAAAAATGATAAAGATAATGATAATGATAATGATGATAATAATAATGATGATGCTGATGATGATGGTGATCATGATGATGGTGATGATGATGATTACGCAAATGACGATGGGGATGATGATGACGATGACGATGACGATGACGATGATGATGATGATGATGATGATGATGATGATGATGATGCTACTGATGCGGATGATGATGATGATCATGATGATGATGGTGCTGATGATACCAGCGGTGGTGATCATGATGATGTTGGTGATGATGATGTTCATGATGGTATGCATGTATGTATGTATGTATGTTTGTGTGTATGTATGTATGATGATGATGGTAATGATGATGATGATGATGATTGTGATGATGATGGTGATGATGACGATGACGATGACAATGACAATGATGATGATGACGACGACGGTGCTGACGATGCTGATGATGACGATGCTGACGCTGATGCTGCGGATGCTGGTGCTGCTGATGACGATGACGATGACAATGACGATGATTGTGATGATGATGGTGATGATGATGACGATGATGATGATGATGATTATGATCATGATCATGATGATGATGCTGATAATGATCATGATGATGTTGATGTTCATGATGGTATGTATGCATGTATGTATGCATGTATGTATGTATGTATGTATGGTTGTACGCGTGTATGTATGTATGTATGTATGTATGTATGTATGTATGTCTATGTATGTATGTATGTATGTATGTATGCATGTGTGTCTGTATGACTGTATGTCTGTATGTTTGTATGTATGTGTGTATGACTGTATGTCTGTATGTCTGTATGTCGGAGGTGAGGGGGTGAGATCGAAGTGGAACGGAGAGCCCCCCTACCGGGAAATCGATTTCGGTTTCGTGTTCGTGCGTGCCGTGCGTGCGGGCGAGGCGAAGCTGCGTGGGCGGGCGAGAGGAAAGTCTCCTGTGGCTGAGGCGCGGCCGGACCAAATGTCTCCCTTCTGGGCGGCCGGGGCCCCGCGGTGTCCCGCCGGTGTCCCGCTGGTGTCCCGTGTGGCTGAGGCGCGGCCGGACCAAATGTCTCCCTTCCGGGCGGCCAGGGGCCCGCGGTGTCCCGCCGGTGTCCCGCCGGTGTCCCGTCGGTGACCCGATGATGATGATGATGATGATGAGGAGGAGGAGGAGGAGGATGACGATGATGATGATGATGATGATGTTGATGTTGATGTTGTTGATGATGATGGTGATGATGATGATGTTGGTGTTTTATTTTGATGATCGATAGTGAGATCGATAGTGGGGTCGAATGTGAGATCGATAGTGAGATCGATAGTGATATCGATTGTGAGATCGAGCGTGAGACCGAATGTCAGATCGATTGTGAGATCGATTGTGAGATCGATAGTGGTATTGGTAGTGAGATCGATTGTGAGACCGAATGGGAGATCGATTGTGAGATCGATTGTGATATCGATAGTGAGATCGACAGTGAGAGCGAATGTGAGATCGATAGCGAGATCGATCGATTGAGATTGATAATGAGATCGATAGTGAGTTCGATAGTGAGATCGATGGTGAGACCGAATGTGAGATCGATTGTGATATCGGTTGTGATATCGATAGTGAGATCGGTAGTGAAATCGAATGTACGATCGATAATGAGATCCAAAGTGAGTTCGATAGTTAGATCGATAGTCAGATCGAATGTGAGATCGATTGTGAGATCGATTGTGAGATCAATAGCGAGACCGAATGTGAGATCGATTGTGAGATCGATTGTGAGATTGATAGTCAGATCGATTGTGAGATCGATCGATTGAGATCGATTGTGAGATCGGTAATGAGTTCGATAGTAAGATCGATCGAGTGCGACGTTGGTCCCTTCCCCCCCCCTCACCTCCTTATCACCCGAAGGGTGGTCGTATAGGTAGGTATGTATGTATGCATGTATGTACGTATGTATGTACGATGATGGTGATGGTGGTGGTGGTGATGATGATGATGATGGTGAGAAGGAGGAGGAGAAGGAGGAGGAGGAGGAGGAGTACAGGAGGAGAAGGAGGGGGAGGAGGAGAAGGACGAGGAAGGGAAGGACGAGTCCAGTTGCCAGCCGAAAGCTTTGGGGGAGGGACTGCGCAGCAGTAAGGACCCTCTGAAGCTAGCTCCCGGGCCCAGGAAGGGCCAGGCTCGGGGTCAGTGGATGTGTATAGACTTCGTCGCCCGACCTCCTCGCCCGCCTCGGCCGGCGGCCCCTCCGCCGCGGGCTCGTACCACACGAGGCGGCGCCGCGGGGCCAGCCGGACCCGGACGACGAAGGCGCCCCCGGCGGGTTCCAGGATGCGGAAGTTCTGCCGCCGCGGCAGCAGCTCGTCGCTGTCGGCGAACGCGGCAGCCGCGGCGGCGTCCTGCGGCCCGCGCCGCAGCCGCGCACCCCTGGAACCGTCTGGGGGCAGCAGCCGCCACCGGCGTGGCGGCCGGCCGCCGAGGAAGTGGACCTCCGTGCCGCCAGGCTGAAGCCGGACGCTCAGCGAGTGCTCGACCTCCTCCTCGCCGTCGCCGCAGTCCTCCGCGCGGCGCGCCCTCGACCACTCGGCGTTGCTGCGGGCCTCGCCGGCGGCCGAGTGGCTCACGAGCATCCACTCGGGGCCGTCGCCCGCGCGCACGCGCAGCACGCCTCGGCGGGCTCCGCCGTGATCGCGGAGGGCGCCCTCGAGCTGGCCTGGCGGCCCTGCGGGGGCCAGGTCCGCGAGGAGTTCCGCCGAGCCGCGCCGCACCGCCGCGCAGAGGCCGCGCCCCTCCGCGCGGCTGATCTGCAGGGACGGCCCCAGGCCCTGACCGTCCTCCAGAGCCCACGCGCCGACGACCGAGCGGACGGGCCGAGCGGCCATCCTCAGCGAGCGCTCGCCAGACGCGACCTCGGGGCTCCAGCCGCTGGGGGCGGCCACGAGCAGCAGCGGCCCGCCCAGCTCGATGTCCGGGTTGGCCCTCCTTGGGAACCACGCAGATACGCTGAGGTATGCAGTCCCTCGCCCGAAACATGGTGTGCATGTTTTCTTGAATGTCTCACGCTCACGGACCTAACCCGAAGAGTGTCCACTGTACTGTGCGTCGTGGCAGTTGTGTACACATATATATATGTATGTATGTATATATATAGAGATGTATAGAGATATAGACATACATGTATGTATGTAATTTGTCACGGTCATGTTCCTATCCCCGATTCCTGTCGTCCCACTGCGCCGCCAGCTGCTCGGCCCGCAGCTGAGTGACCGGTTCCCCCGCAAACTCCTCGAAAAGGCGGCGGCCGTCGCTGGGGCTGCGCGCCCTCCTGGACGCGGCCGCCTCCGCCTTGGATAGATGCACGAACGACCTTATGCAACAATGACCTTAGATGCGCGGCTTTCGGGGGCCGCTGGGAGGCCAACTCCAGGCTCGCAAAACAATGCCCAGGGGGGGGGACCCTGCGGGCCCGCACCAACGGTCACTCTGGCGAAGGGCCACTCTTACGCGCAGCCGCCTGCCACCCAGCCAGCTCCCTGGGGCTCGGCCGGAAGTCGCGGGCGGGGCGCCTGTGCAGCAGGATGCGGGAGGGGAACCTGTCACGGTCCTGCCGGAACAGCGGCTCCAGGGGCTGGTAGGCCGACAGGCCGCGCTCTCGGATGGCCCTCAGGTACATTTCGTCGCCCGCGTCCGACTGCGGCCACGTCGCTTCCAGGAGCGCCCGCGCGGCGTGGCGCGTGACCATGTAGGCGTGGCGGCCGACCGCGGAGTGCGAACGGAAGACTCTGCCGCTGACGTGCTCGCGGTCTTCCCTGCTCTCCCAGAGGTAGCCGAGGTGCAGCACGTCCCAAGTCGCAGGCACCTCTGCAAGGCGGGGATCTGATCCATGCTCACCGCCTGGGGAGACGATGTCGGGGGGAGGTCCATGCAGGATGTATACTTATATGCCTATAAGTTATAGGCACACACATGTGTATATATATATATATAGATATATACATATATATATATACATATACATATGTGTGTGTATGTATGTATGTATGTATGTATGTGTATATATATACATATATATATACATATATATATATGTATATATACACTCGGGCCAAAGGAGCGCCCGAACATAACCCATATCCGCCGCCTGCCGAGGCCCCCGAAGACCGATCCCACGGGCGGTGGTTATGGATGAAAACCCGCCTCGGACCACGAGCGTCGAACATATCCATATCCACGCCTTCGCGGTCTGTCTTCTTGGGCGTAACCCCCCTTGATACGCGGCCGCATGGATACATACTGCGTGGGGCATCCACGAAAGAGCACGCTGTATCCATAAGGTGGCGGCCCAAGGGCCAGGCAAGCGAGGCCGTGGGTATGGATACGTTTCCTTCCCGCGATCGGAATACCAGGGGGTGCTGGACATGGACACATATTTATATATGTATATATATATATATATATATATATAATATATATATATATATATATATTATGTTTATATATATATATATAATGCACATGTATATATATATATATATATATATATATATGTATGCATACATCCAATGTGTATATGTGATGCATGGGTATATATAAGTCTACATGTATGTGCATATGTACAAACACATATGTACACACGTGTTTAACTATACAGCTATATACATAGGTTGGGGGGGCTCCCAAAATCCACCTGCCAACTCTTCCGCTGGGTTGTGATATTGCCTTTGCGTTGTCTCTTGTGTTGCCTTTCCGTGTGATCATTTGCCGTGGCTCTCTGGCCGATCATTTCGATTCTGAATTTTCCGATTTCGGGCTCGTTGAAACCCCAAAAACGAATAAGCCAAGATGGCCCCAAAACGTTGCAAAACAACAAAAAAACTAATGCGGGAGCCCGATGTTCTCACAGGGATCACCTGTTTCGGAAAAAAGAGAAAGCAAAGGCTTCACTGTAAACACACAAGGGTTACTTTGAACCAGGCACACGGATCACCTGCTCGCACTACCGATTTTTCTTTGCCGACCCCAGAAACATCAAATAACACCATGTGTGTTTACCATCAAGACTTTGATTTTCCTTCTCCGAAATAAACGATCATTGTGAGAAACCACAAGGTCCCAACAATTGTGTATTTTCTTGTTTTCCGATGGTTTTATGGTTGTTATGTTTTTCCTTATTTTGTATGGTCTGTCAAGAATCTTGGTGCCCAACAGCCCAACAACCGAACCAACACAAGTGAAACACCTTCAAACAATAAATAAAACAAATGCGCAAGAAACTTGGGTTTCCACAGGGATCACCGGTTTCGGAAAAGGAAAGCCTAAAGTTTGGCTGGAAAAACACAAGGTTGATTTTGAGATATATATATATATATATATATATATGGCTTTTCTTTTTTTCCTAAAGGATTACGGTAACGCATGAATGTAACCCCTGCGCAGGCAGCACAGGGATCACCTGTTCCCACTACCGATTTCTCTCCTTTTTTTTTAAAAAAAAATATATATATATATATAAAAGAACCAAAATAAACACATGCTTTTTAAAGTCAAGCCCATTGGTGTTCTTTCTTCGAAACAATGATCCCTGTGGACACATAAGATTCCCGCGCGTGCTGATTTCTGTCTTGTGTTTATATATATATATATATATATGTGTTGTATTACTTGTTTGTTCGCGCTTGCCAGGAATTTAGTTCCCAGCAACTCAAGAAAACCAAACAAAGAGGAAACACCAAAATAACGGACACAAATCAAGCATGCGTTGACATTGCGTTTTCACAAAGATCACCTGCTTCGGACAAAACAAAAAAAAGAAAAGCAAAACAATGTTTCTTTAAAGCTTACGTGCTGTATGTGTTAAAGAACAAGCTGTAACGCGTGAGCGTGATCCATGTGAATACACAGGGGTCACCTGTCCCCGCCGCAGATTTTTCCTTGGACAAAAACTTAATTCAAAGAGCACCCTATGTCTTTTTTACAGCCAAGCCTTTGATTCTTCTTTTCCGAAACAAATGATTCCTGTTGTGGCAGCGGCTATCCCCCAATCTGCTTTGTAGGCTTGAGCCAATATGAACCGGAGTGATCGTCCACTTGCTAAATATACTACGTCAAAACTGGCATGCTTCCACATGCCCAACACTTTCTCCTAGGTTTAGCCCCCCCCCATTGTGGGCGACAAAAATACTCAAATCAGGCTCCCCTGGAACACGCTCGCTCGATGAGCGAGTCGACCTGCGGTGTCTGCAGTCCTGAGCACAGCGAAACAGACAGCAATATATATATATATATATATATATATATATATTAGTTGACAGCAGGTGGACGCGAGCCCAAACACGCGGCAGGGCGGAGAGATCAGAGCAGGAGGGGATGCGCGGATCATTGATAGCGCAATCCTCCAGAACTGGGGGGGGGGAGCGGGAAAGATAATGCCCGCCGACAACCACCGCGCCATCGCGTTCACCTCCTGAGTCGGCCGTCAGGAATTCGGCCCACGATGATAATTCTCTCTCCTGCCGGAGTACTTTCCTGGGCGCCGCCCGCGATCGACATTCCAAGGCGGGGTCGTCACGTCGTCGCTCCTCCTCGGCACCTTCGTCTACTGGGGCGATTCTCCCGCTGGTCATCATCAAACAGGGCAGCGTTGCACTTCGACACGTCATCCTTCGCGAGAGCGTCTACAGGCACCCGGCCATGTGGAATCCACCTCACCCTGCCTCGATGCACGCTCTAGAACCTCACGTGGCATGGCCAAATCGATGGAAGTCCCCCGATCTTTAGCTCCAGAGCTGCCCTCGCCCTCCTTCAACAGAGTGTCGAATATAATGTTGGCGTCAACTGCATGTGCTTGTTGCTATCTGGATGGGCCCTAGGCTGCAGCATCTCAAAAACACTTGTAAAAGGGGCCAGAACCTCTATGATGGTCACGCGCCCCCACGTCTCTAAAGGCCACGCCCCTACACATAATCCTGAGGTGCTCGACCTCCGCCACTGCGGCTGAGGGAGACTGCGTCTCCCTGGCGAGAATGGAGGGGGCCTTCCGTCTCAGTTTGGAGCTCCTCCATCCTAGAATGGAGGCGCGCGCGGACTAATTATCGACAACGCTTCTATCACACGCCAGCGCGACCCAAGCCCCCTGGGTCGGGTCTTCTGGGGGCCCCTTAGCGTCGGCCAACTGCTCGCGAGAACCGACGTCGCCAGCGTCGGAGAAGGACGCGAGCGCCATCTTTTCGGGGCCCAAGCGCCAAGCAATCAGGCCTCTCGAGGCCGAGGCCAAACAAAAACCGGACCAAATTTCTAGCGAGGGCGATGCCCCCGGCGGTGGGAGACTTCAGCCTGCTCGCCAGGATGCCAACTACCCCGGCCGCCCTGGGCCCGGTCTCTCGCCCCATCCAATCAAATTTGCAAGCGAGATCTCAAGGCCTTGAACTCCTGTGGCTCGAGAGGCTCGTTTTCCGGGGACAACCTGCCCTTGGCAACGGACAGCGGGCGGTTTTCCCCCAGGATGTATTTCTCCATGTCAACGGCAGCTCTCCTCGGTCCCAGGGTGGTCCTCCTGCCGGCGAAATCGACTGGCCCAGCCTGGCAGTCGTGGTATTTTCCGAACCGAGATCGAGAGTCGAGGGCCCGCCACAGCCTCGCGCGGGTCTCCGACGAAGAGTTCCCTATGGAGAAATCATCAACTTCCAGAAGAATCACGCAGATCACTGCCCCCTTCGATCCGCAACGGATCCACGGGCAAGGCTCCAGGAGGGACACGATGAACCCGTGCTTCTCGAGAAACGACGCGACAGTCTTTCTCAGGGCCACCGGGGCGTCGTCTAGCCCGTGCGCATGTGCCTATAGGCAGATGAAAGAACCGTCGGCCATGCGCACGCCGTCACATGGTTCAACATATATTTCCTCTGGGTCTCGACGCGCGGGGCCACTGCGGCAGAGCGTTTTCTTCGCGTCTGCTACGTCTGCCAGGAGGCCGAGATTCATGGCCACCCGAGGAAAGAGCATGACATCCGCGGTCTGAGGGGCAGGGGCGCGCGCCATCGGGGGCCCGGAACCTGGATCTCGATGGCCGTCGAGTCTCGGCCTCTGATCATTTGAAAAACCTTTCCTCTGGCTTCCACCGTCGGACCACGCGACTGGACATGATCCGCCCCGACTGAGACTGCCGCGCGACTGCCGCCTCCTCGGGAGAGGTGACTTCTACAGCTCCGGCGGCAAGCGCATGGCATAGCTTGCCACTCACTCCTTACCGTCAGCAACCTCGAACTTGGATCTCTCCGACGGACTCGGGTTCTCAAGGGGGACTTCCCCCCCGCGGCTAGCAGCGAAAACCCATTGGTCGGAAGCCGCGGCCCCTGGCCAACTCGACTGCCGCTGCCCCGGGCATCTGACCCGGCGGGCATCTTCATTGAGGCCGACCGGGAGGACAAAGAAGGCAGAGGCCCCCTCCCTTCCTCCTGCGTGTCTCGGCTGTCCTCCAGTCGCTGAGGAGACTGGCTCCTCTCGTCTGCAGGCCTCTCGATGGCTCGCGCGCGGTCGCTCGCGGAGCGGCGCGGCTCGCTGCCGACGACCGCCCGCCCGCGGCTGGGCTCGGGAAGAGAAGAAGAGGAGGGCGGGGGGCAGAGAGGGCGGGGAAGGCCCAGAGGATGCCCAACCCTGGCCCTTCTCACCTCCGGGAGCTGGAGCTGGCCCTCTCCTCGATCTGAGTCTCGACTCGAAATCTTCTGATGCGCGTGGGGCCATCATCTGGCTGCGATATCCTGGTTCAGACAGGCTGGGCAGAGGATGAGGCTGCTCCTCCGGCTGGAGCTCGGGCGGGCCATGGCGCGGCGGGTCGCCCAGAGACGCAGCCCGAGAGAGGCA